ACACAGTGTGAAAGACTGTCCTTATCATGCCAATAGAGATAAAATTTAAAAGAGGATTAATGAATTAAAATCTATTCATAAATTGTTTTCAATGAAATCCGAAACGGACGACGGCTTATCAAGCTGCTCGAATTTTCCGGAACGCCCCTCGTCATATGAACTAGAATCTGACAAACCGGTTTTGCCAGAGATAGAACATTTAAAAGGGAAAATAGGTGAGGGAGATTTCGAAAAACTACGGGACCTCCTAAATCGGAACGCAGATGTATTTTCAAAACATAAGGCGGATATCGGTTGCTGTAATTTCGTCGAACACGAAATCGAACTTGAGGAGGGCGCCGTTCCCCATAGGGAAGGCGCAAGACGAATGACGCCACACAAATCGGAAGCGTGCCGAGCGGAAATACAAATGTTGCTTGAAAACGACATGATAGAACCCTCGAAATCGCCATGGGCTTGCGGGGTAGTAATGGCGAAAAATAAAGGGGGGGGGGCAGCTGAGATTTTGTTGCGACTTTCGTGACTTGAACGCAGTAACGATAAAAGATGCGTACCCGATACCGCGAATAGACGAGAGCCTATCTAAGCTTGGTGATGCCAAGTTCTTCACCACATTGGACTTAGGTTCTGCCTTCTGGCAGGTCCCTCTGCGGAAGAAGGACAGAGAGAAAACCGGATTCGCGTGCGAATTGGGATTGTACCAGTGGAAGAGGATGCCCTGTGGCTTGTGCAATGCAACGGCCACTTTTCAAAGACTGATGGCTCAGGCTTTGACGAGAGTGACCAAGAAGTACGGGAATCTCGTGATGTGTTACGTGGATGACGTAGTCATAGCGACACCGACCCGGGAAGACCACATTGATAGGCTCGATGAGGTCTTTGGATGCATGAAAAGAGCAGGATTGAAGTGCAAACCATCGAAATGTGAAATCCTTAGGGATTCGACTAAGTACCTGGGAAGGATGGTGGATAGGCATGGTGTGAGGCCGGACCCGGAAGCAGTGGAAGCAGTGTTGACATGGAAAGCTCCCAGAACGGACACACAGCTCCTGAGCTTCCTAGGGTTTGCCAATTACTACCGGGAATTCATAAAAGGATATGCGGACAAGGTGTATCCGATGCAGAAGCTGATGCGCAACAAGGGGGAAAAGTTCGAATGGAACGATAAGGCACAGGTTGCTTTCGAGAACATAAAGCGGGAACTGTGCGAAGCGCCAGTGCTAGGCATGCCTACAGAAAAGGGCATGTATGTTCTTGACACAGACGCATCGGTAGTGGCCATCTCAGAAATATTGCATCAAGAGCAAGAATGGAACGGAAGAACAGTTCTCCGTCCCATTGCATACGGCAGCAAGGTCTTGAGTGACACAGAGATGAAATATGGCGCACCAAAAGCAGAACTGTTTGCAGTAGTCACCTTCTTGGAAAAATACCGTGCATACTTGGGGAGCGCTCCCTTCAAGTTACGCGTGGACAACAGAGCGTTATCCTGGTTGAAGACCTACTCGATGGATCAGAGTTATATTGGTAGATGGATAGTAAGATTGGATGGCTACCATATGATAATCGAACATAGGATGCGTGATAAACACCAGAATGCTGACAGCCTCAGCAAGAAAAGTGAGTTCTATGAGAGAATGGAGCAGAAACAAGCCAATCAAGCAGAAATAAAGGAGGGATTCTCGTTTCTGGACAAAGAAACTTATGAAGCGCTTCCCTTAACGAGATGGTTGGACAAGTCTGGACATCCAATTCCAGGGCACCCTGAGTTACCTGTAGAGAAAGCAGCCGAGATAAATATCCTATCCAAGGAGGATCCGGTCCCCTTGGATCTGTTGCTGCGCTCGAATCTGGTCCAGCAAGAACTCTCTCGCATGGATATAAACAGCCTCTCATTATTGGATAAAACGGTGCATGTTACACCGCAGGTGATGCGGATGCTGGGTGGATTGTTAGAAAGAGAAGTGACCAGAGATGACCCCGAATGGACTGCAGCAGTGGCATCGCTAACAATCAGTGAGAAGGTGAAGATCATGCCGTCCAGACGACAGCACGAAGAGAACGAGAGGGATTGTAGGACAATAGTTCAGCAGTTAGTATCCTCAATACCCCACGAGATTTTAACCAGTACTTCTTACAAATAGAAAGAACAAGGGAGCAGTACGCGAAGGAAAACCGTCACCTTTGTGGATCAAAAGAAGGAAGGTGAAAAGGCAGAACAAAACCTGCTGCAAGACTATTTGTCCGTGGAGACGAATAATGAGAAAAATCAGCGATCACAAGATCAACACCCGGGACAAGAAAATTTGTCCGGGGAGTCTGAGATAGACTAGAAAATTCCTGATGAAAAACAGGACCTAGAGAACAAGGTTTTGTCCGGGGAGTTCAGATGGATGCGAAGAAGGCACCGACATGATCTGGAGGAGCGTGCAGTCTCCAGTACAACCTCTTCGGCGGATGACGATTCCCGAAACTCAGGAATGGACACCTATTCAGACAGGAACTCGAACTCGGGATCAGAACTGTCAGAACTAGCGATACACACACTACTAGTGGAAACTCGGGCAAGGGACCAGGACAGAGAGGTGCACCAGGATCCTGACAGCGATCGCTACCTTATACCAAGCGAAAGAGTCTTTGACAACGCGGCGGATGACTTGGAGACAATAGCGGTATCGAAACGTTCGATCAGCCTGTTGCCGCAGAAAGAGGTAGTCAGCACTGATCTTCAGCCGTTTAAACAAGAAACACAGCCGTTGGCGAAGATTTGATGTGTTAAGATGGAAGAAGACACACACCAGCCCAACGAGCTGAATAGTCAGATGAGGGTCATGAAGACGTACTTAAAGGCGAGATACCAACTCTCCGATCTTCTAAGGGCGCAGAGAAATGATCGCATGACAAGCAACCTGAAAAGGTCGATCGAGAATGGTTCTCCGGATAAAGGGGACCTCGAGGAAGATAGTTATCGCATCCTGAGACAATACTTCATGCAGAAGGAAGGGAGGTTTAATTTGAACAAGGACGGGATTGTGGCTTGCAAAAGAAGGGAAGAAGACAGAGTCCATTACAAGTATAACGCGATAGTGTTACCGCAACTCTATCAGACAAAGCTATTATTCAGGTCACATGATCAGATGGCCCATCAGGAGATTGACAAAGTATATCAGAGGATCCTGAAGCGCTTTCAGTGGCCTGGGATGAAAAAAGCATGCGAAAAGTGGGTAACAGCATGTCTGTCATGCCAACAGGTCAAAGATCCAAGGATGTTGCGATTTCCTTTACAATCGATCGAGTCGTCTGAATTCAACGAGGTGGTGCAGATGCATCACCAGAAAATATGCATGACAGACAGTGGTTATAATCAGGTGTTGGTCATGATAGATCATTTTACGAAGTATGCAGAGGCCGTGCCCTGCATAACTGCCTCGGCGGAAGAGACATGCGACTACCTGATCAATACGTGGATAGCAAGACATGGTTGTCCGATGACGTTTCAATCGGATAATGGAACAGCTTTCGTAGGAGAGCTTACGAAAGAGCTTATGAGACGCTCACAGGCCGCTCAAGCTCACTCCACGACATACCACCCTCAGACGAGTGGCTTAGTGGAAAGACAGAATAGGACGTTATTGTCGATGCTGAGAGTATATTGTTCCAGGTACATGACCGATTGGGACAGATACCTTCCACAGGTGATGGGAGCATATAACAGCACGCAACACTCCACCACCGGAGTCAGTCCACACATGATGCTAACTGGACACGAGAAGTCTTTACCCTTGACCTTCTTCTACCCAGAGTATGAGGGAAAGAAAACATCTCCACAGGTCTACGTGAGGGATGTAATCCGACGCCAACAGGAGTTGAACGGTTTGTGTAGACGAAACACTAGGCAAGAACAGGCAAGGCAGAGGAAAAAATTCGACAAGAAAGCAGCTGGTGCAAAGGCTTACTCGGTGGGGGACTACGTATGGGTATTTCAGAATGTCATACCACCGAAAGGGACGAACAAGCTCCTAAAAAAATGGAGGGGACCCGTCATGATTACAGAGGTGCACCAGGAGGGACGCTTTAATAGACTGAGTACTGGCCGAGCCGCCCACTACGAGAACATCAAGCACACAATCCATCGACAGAAGACTGTTCTATACCTGCAGACATGGAAGAAGGGGATTATCTAATGATGAATCCTGCTTGTGAGGTCAATGAAAAGGGCACCAGGGAGAAGAACGATGGAAACGAAGTCGTAGAGGAAGGTACGGATACACCGCTGGACCTGGATCCAAACGAGGAGATCGAAGCGGACGATGAAACCTTACCCTACGCAGAGGAAGATTGGCAGGATCCCGAACAAATAGAGGTTCCCAAGAACCTGGAACCGGATCTTCCGTTCACGATACAGACTCGTCAGAAGGACGGGACGAGACCAAGAAAGAAATACAATCCTTATGGTGACGACTTTGTAGTGGATAGGATAGAAAATACAAAAACGTGGAGTTCCTTTGGAAGCAAAGACCAGGAGTAGGGGGCGTAGTAGGGCCTTACTTCAGGCGGCGTCACAGATACCGGGAAAATATCTATGATTCTTGGTAACGAGGGCGACGAGGCTGAGGGACTTCCTCGTGGAAATGGACGTGAAGGAGCTCTCGCTTCCAGTGTACGATCCAAACACAGGAAGACTACATCCTCGGGAATTGTTTGCGCTTGTACACGTGATATTCTTCGATACGAATATACAAGTATATCTACATAAGAAATATTACTTAAGTATAGGCGGAGTGACGTGCGAGAGGGTGTTAGGCCAAAGACTAAGTTGTATGTAATATGTGATATGTATGTTATGTTATGTTATGTTATGTTATGTGTTAGGTTATTAAGATCATGGGTAAGTAGGGGTTTAGGGACCATGAACAACTGAATGACGATCTTAGGAATAGATCCAAAGTTTGGACTGTTCAATCTTAGGTCGAATTCCAAAATTTTAGAGATCGATTGATTTTAATAAGTTTTAGGATAAAGATCTTTTTATCTGAACTGTTTTTAAGCAAATTTTAGCATTTTAGCGATATATGTTAAGATGGAGCTGACAAGTGTGATATTCGTAACCTCTTTTCTAGATCCTGATTGATCATTTAATTACTCACTTGAGTCAAATCTTTGAATCAAAACCGAATCGAACTTGAAAGAATAGAATGGATAACTTCAACTTGGATGAATTGATGGACCTGGCAGAGGCATATGTTGGACCGATGGTAGATGCGATCTATCGCCGGCTGATGGAACGAGACTTCGCTCTGGAGGACCCAGAGGTAGTCATGTTGCTGACCGCCCTGATCAACATCTTGGGGCACGACAACCGTGGGGACCGCCCATCGGAAGTCCTGTTGATGGCAGCATATGGAGAAAGGGGAGTACTAGACCGCCCGAACATGAGAGTGATGAGGTGGAGAAACGGGGCTCTCTCAGGGAGTGACTTGGCAAATGAGCCTGGATTGGGAAGTTCTAGGACTTACCAACCAAGTGAGATGCCTATGCCCTCCAAGCCCAAACCTGGGCTGACGAGAATGCATCAGGAGATGAACAGCGAGGCGGCCTCGTCTGGTTCACCACTGAGAGCAGCTTTGCCACCAAAAAGGGCGAAAGTAGGACAGAAGGTTCAGACGAACCAAACCATGCAAGATCTGGATGAGATGAACGATGAACTGAAAATTACGAAGAAGGAGCTGGACGAGATGACCAAAAGTATGCTCCAGATGGAGGAAGATCGAGACATGCGGAGAAAATTGTTCGAAGACTGCAACAAAAAGCAGGGTCAAAAAATTGAGCGCTTGAGGCAGGACTACAAAGAGCGATCGGAACAGATGGCGTTGACAACGGCCGTGGAGAAAGTGATACCTGCAAGGAATATTCCTCGTGGGCAGTCCCCGATGGAGTTCTTGACGCCTCGAGAAATGAGTCAAACAACGGAGACACGGCTCCCAGCAGAGACAAATCGAGTAACAATCCCGGATCCTAGTGACACCTTGGGTGACCCCGTCGTGGAACAGACAGTGAGGAAGCTGATAGAGACAGCTGGACGACTGGTTGCTAACAAGAATGCGCCAGGTTCCGGGGTGACTGCACCCTATGGAACGATCGACGACACGGGCAGAGTACGACTCTCCCAGACCGTGATCAGACAGGGGATAAGTGACGTGACACCACTCATGGGGAGCTCGAGGGCCCCAGAGAGAAGAATACGGAAGATGCAAGCGAAGAAAGTGTCTCGCATAATAGACGTGCAAAAGAATAATCAATTGAAATATAATTTCACGGGAGTTCCGCAGACAGATCCGAGGGCCTGCTTCAATCGAGCGACTTGGAGCCCGGCAGTAAACCTGCAGCAACCACCACTCGGGACATCTCATCTGATACTGGGAGACAGCTTGGTTAGAGTGCTGTCGAATTTGAGGACCTCGTGGTTCACCACGGTGATGGCCTTTGGAGGCAGCGACGATAGCCCAGTTATATCGAATGGTGGAACTGATGAATCCAGGGAGGATCCCCAATGTGATGATCTTGGTTGGGACGAATGACATCGCCAGAGCTTCAGATGAGCAGGAAGCACTATGGGAGTCAATGATGGTGTGTTTGTTTACTACTCTCTGGCAGAAATTCAATTGCGCGGTACTGACCGTTTGCACTGTGCCAATGAATACAAGAAGCCTGACAGCATCAGGAAGAAGGCACAACGAGGGAGTCGTCAGGTGGAATAACATCTTGAGGAACCTCGCAAGTCGGAACGCCGGAAGAATGATCCTCATGGACGTCGAACATGAGTTGAGAGCTATGGATCAGGCCAGACTGACCACGGACGGCATCCACTTCGACAGTATCGAAGGACAAGCTTGGTTGAATCGAGTCTTCCAAGAGCGGTTGGACGAACTAGAAGCGGAACTCTTTGACACAGGAGTGCTGAAGGAAGAAGGAACGGCGAGTGACGCGGTCATTTCCACCTTTGTGCCTCCTAGCCTGGAAACACGCTTGGGTACGGTCCCGGCCGTCACGAACTACAGGCAACAAAGCTCCAGCGAACCAGGTCAAAGGACAGACGTACAGGATCGATTGGGAGAAGCGCCGATGAGGAGGACCATCCATCCTAGGAGAAGAATAGGACCTGTCAACCCAATCGAAGAGACAGCTGGCACGTCTAGATCGGACACTAGATCGGAGACGACAAGTACCAGTCGAGAGAAGAGACGTCCGGGAAGAGGCTCGTTGATGTGGTCAAGACCCATACCGTCTCCCTGGCATGTATACAAAGACGAACTATTGAAGCTTGATCTCCAGAGGGTAAGCTTCATCGAAGATGCAAGGAGGATGCTGAATGGAGCGACGCTATCCGTCAGCAGATTGTACTCGATAACCGGCGTAGACTGGTTGATAGCCGCTAGCATAAATTTCAGCTCAACGACGGCCTTGACATTTGCTGACCTAGAGGGACTGCCCTCTAACAACACGATGGGACCAGTGAACGCGAGACCATTGCAAGACGTGAGGTTGAATCATGACGAAGGGAATCGAGAAGAGAGACCTGGAAGATGTCTAGTGACAAGGGCACCGATCGGACAACATGTGAAGATGTTCAAGCAACTAAGCTCACCTCCTGGTCATGTGAAGGAGATAATATACCCAAAACTAGTGAATCAAGATGGTGATGCCCAGAGATACGGCGGATTGATAGCTATAAAGAAAGATGAGACCATCTTCGCCGCCTATGACAAAGCAGAAATGAGGAAGGCCAAGATTATGATAGTAGCGAATTCAGAGTTCGTGTACACCTCCAAGTCTCTGTTTTGGCCGGACGTCATAATGTTGGCAGCGGTCGACCTGGACCTATTGCAATCGATATCTCTGGCTATAGGGGTACAAAGGCAGACGGACATGAACCCAATTACGATCGTGTTCGCTGGCATCAATGACCATCTACACAGTAGAGGTTTTCTGAGCAGACTCAGAGATCCGACAACGGCAGAGAACGCTGTGTGGCCAGCGATAAAAGATATCCTTGAGTCGATGGGTGAAATGGTGGATGCGACGAAGGAGGGGTCGTTCACCAAAGTGACACCGAGAATAGTATTCGCGTTGTCTCCGGGGTATGCACATCTCCCGGATGGACTGAAATTTGTGTATGCGATTGTGACCTTACTTTAGGAAGGAAAATATGATGTGATCATATCAGCCCCGAATCGCATGATAGAAATGGAGAACCTGAGGCCACTCAAGGCTGAACTACCTGCAGTGTGGTCAGATATCTCAAACGCGATGAGAGGATTCAAGGACCATGCGCTACACATGTTAGTGTTGGACGAGGTGCTGGGGTTGGAACTGTCCAATTTCAGTCCACAGCTCAAACTGAAACCAGGAGTAGACGACGACCATCGAGTGATCGCGGCGATGTCCAACGACTTATGGTTCCGAGCAATGGAAGTGGCAGGTGAAAACACAAGAAGGAAAAATTCACTAGAGACGAGAGCTCATTTGGAGGCGATGGTTTTGAGAACCAAGCCGGAAGCCAACCAGTGGCTACACCTGAATCCTAGAGTAGCGGCATTGGGTGCAGACGCTTTTGAGCAAGGCCTCGTGATGATCACAAAGATACATGCCTACTTGTTGAAGGAGGTGAACCTGGCGGAAAATGCCGGGGAAAAGACCGCTGAATTTGTGAACAGAATGTGTCAGATTACTCTGGAAACCTTCTGGACCCAGGAAGTGAAGGGACAGGAGGGCTTTGAACGGACCGACAGCATGCTAGAAGGGTTGGGAGCCGGATGGACCGCGTCCTTCTTGGCAAAAGTTTACCCGAAAGTCTCGCATTACTTGATAAAAGAATTCCTCCAAGCAGTAGTGGAAGTGTCGATAGTGGAACTAATAGCCTTGTTCGTTACATTTGGAGCAGAGAGTTTCGTGAAAGGACCGGCGATACTGCTCACCGACGGAATCCAGAACCTGCGGCTAGACGGACTTCTGACATTGATTGCAATTACCCACGGAAACTTGGGAGGACTGATGAAACTGACACGTTGTCCAGAGCAGATGAGAGAGAGAGAGAGAGAGTGAGGAACTTAGATTTGAAGAAGTCCACTGACTCGTGGAATAAGATAAGAGACCTGAGACACACTCTTATCCAGTATCTCTTACAACAAAATCCATTTGGAACGGGAGAAGACGAGACGATTGAAAGAGAGGAAGATGTTAGACGACATGTTGGAGGCATGCCCCTGTTAACCGATCTGAGCTTGGATATGAGAACCGATCCCTTGGCGCTGATCAGAGGAGTCACGGAGTTTGTGACGGTGATCTATGGACCAGCAGTCACGTTTGCGTTCCCTGACGTTAAAGTGGAAGCATATAGGAGGTCGGTGCTGCACCTGAACCTCATATCAGCAGTGGACGGTAGTACACTGAACTGGTGTGAGCAGCACCCATTGCGGGAGCTCATGAGTGAAGATCTGTTTTTTACGAAAATATCGGAGCCGGAGATGACAGTCATCAATTTTGATGATCACTTCCGTGATCGCATGGGAGAAGTAGAAAGAGGACACATCGAAGTGTTTCCGAAACTTTGGAATCTGAGACCCTATGATAAAACGAATGGTGAAATAACCAGAGTGCCTCGTCTCACTGCAGCATATCATAGAGTGAGAGAAGAGACGAAGCACTGGGGTGATTACAAGAAGCTGCCGGAGGCAATCCCTGAATTCCCTGTAATAAGAAGGATGTTGCTCGGAGCAGTCTCCGTGGTACAAACTCCTAGATAGAGAGCATTCGAAACCAATGAAAGGAGAGTAGGGAATTTCATGGGAACGATGGATCCATACTTTGTAGGGAGAAATGCCGCCGTGTTACAATACACACGATTTCCATATACGGATCAAGCAACCAGAAGGCGAATAAGCAACGCCGCGACTCCCAAGCCTGGGAAATTCGACGAGGAATGGACGGGATTAGGCTTAGCTCCGATGAGGAT